AAAGTCATCAAAATTGATGAGTTCAAAAACTGTTTTGAGCAGTGGAAAAAGTGTCTCAATAGGTGTATTGCATCAAATGGAGAGTACTTTGAAGGTGACAAGTTTACACATGTAAGAATATACAATTTTATAAAGAAATTCTGGTTTTTTGGGGTCACCAATATATATATGCCAAAGACTATAAGTCATTAAAATATCTGTATAATATCACTATTAAAACATTGTGGCTGAATAATATTCATATCTTCTGTTTCTAGCAATGGGTATTTGTGAATATCTAAGAAGCAAAACTCTCACTCATCACTTTATAAAGAGGCAACTGTATACTATGGTTAATAGAGTGTTAGGTTAAATTCTCTGGAACCAATGAAGTCATGTTCTCCATATTTGTTGTTATTGGTGATTATAACTCAGATGATTCTTTGTACAAATATCTAAATATTCCTATTATTCACTGTTAAAAATAGTTGTATTATCTGATTATTTTGAGCCCAAACTTGGGCAGTTATTCTCTTCTAAGCTTAAAACTTAGTTCAAGTTCATTTTTTTCTTAGCAAGGATGTTAAAATACTTTATACAATACTTTGGATTTGGATGGGGTATAAGAAACAAGATCTTTGAGTTCCTTTAAATTTGACTTCTAGTGCTATTTTGTTTAATAGCAGTACTACTTACTAAAAATACTAAATAGCATTTTTTTCCAATTTTATAAAACAGTATCTGGGCCTACATAAATAATATTTATGTAAATAACAATGTATAATAAATAAAATATGTATATATTTTTAAAACAGGGTCTTGCTGTGTCACTCAGGTTGGAGAGCAATGGTGTGATCGTGGCTCACTGCATCTTCTAACTCCTGTAATCCTCAAGTGATCCTCTCACCTCAGCCTCCCAAGAAGCTGGGACTATGGGCATGAACCACCATGCCTGGCTAATTTTTATTTTATGTAGAGATGGGTTCTTACTCTGTTTCTGAGGCTGGTCTCAAACTCCTGTCCTCAAGCAGCCCTCCCACCTCATCCTTCCAAAGCACTGGGATTACAGACATGGGCCACTGTTCCCGGCCAAAATAATATAAATATTTTTATGTGTAAATATATGTAGTGCTACATTTGTATCCAAACACTAGTATAAATTATATATACACAATACTTTATAATTATTTGCATTTTTATTTTTTGGCTCTGTAACACTATTTTGATACAAACCTATTCTAATATTATGTAAGCTATATTTTAGGGTTACATAGCTCTATGTTATCTTAATGATTTCTTTTGAATTGGCTGCTTACTTTTTTTTTCATATCTGAACAGTGTGTGGGTTTCAACAGACCATGATGAAATCGAAAATGTAGCCAAACAATTTGGTGCACAAGTTCATCGAAGGAGTTCTGAAGTTTCAAAAGACAGCTCTACCTCACTAGATGCCATCATAGAATTTCTTAATTATCACAATGGTATGAGTTTTATTAATAGTTTATTCAAACATTTATGTAATTTTTAACAAATCTTATAATCACGCAAGACTTGTCTTAATATTTGAATTCAAAATCTTAGTGTTACTTGCTTACAAGAAGTTTTATGTCCTTTTTTCTTTTGTCTTCTCAAGAGGTCGACATTGTAGGAAATATTCAAGCTACATCTCCTTGTTTACATCCTACTGACCTTCAAAAAGTTGCAGAAATGATTCGAGAAGAAGGATATGATTCTGTTTTCTCTGTTGTGAGACGCCATCAGTTTCGGTGGAGTGAAATTCAGAAAGGAGGTAATGTGTTATGAGTCTTTATTTTAGCTCATTTTCTGGTGAATCAATTTTCTTAATATGGAAATATTTTTTAGAAGTGAGGAGAGTAAAAAGGAAGAAATAAGAGGAAATTTAATTCATAACTTTAATAGCTAATGACATTAATAATTAGTTCAAAATCTTTTTATTGAAGCAAGACAGCTAGACCCAATTCGTTCTTTACTTTACTCTTTATAAAGAGGCATTCTGATCCTCTATTTCTGTTTACCTTTTAAGGCAAACATGCCATTTTTCTAGATTAAATGCTTTTGTGTTTATTCTAGACTTTTTTGATGAACTCCATACAAACAATGGGAATAGAAAGTATCTACCAACGAGTCTTGGAGGACCTCAAAAATGAAATTTTGGACTTGCTTCCCCAAGTTTGTCACTCTTTATATAAGAAGGGCTTAATAGGGTTTAGTAGGAGTCTACTTTCTAGCTAGAGAAGCTAGCAAAATATGTGATAAATAACAAATACTTTTTAAAAAATATACTAACAGATAGGTATATGTAACATTTGGGGAAAGACTGATTTCTTTTAGGTGCCCTGACATTTGTTAAATATAGGAAAGCTGGCCTACTTGTCTTTAACATGGGTAACTTAAAGGAGATAATAAGAAAAATGCAATGAAACTGAAAAAAGTACCAAAAAAGGCAATTAAGATAATCAAGAGGATGAAGATGGTCTGAAAATAGTGATTTTTCCAATCTCAAAATACAAATGTTATCAAGAGCAATAAAATATACCAGTGAATGCATTTACTTGACTTCATTCAATAAACATTTATGGTTTCTTCTATGCTAGGTTCTGTGTTAGCCTGTATGTATAATATTTTGAACTTACTCACCAAATCTCAGAAAAAAGATATAGGAAGTATCTCTTACATCTTAAACAAGCTTTTTTAAGCAAGTCCGGGAAACTCAAAGTTCAACTGAATATTGAACTTTATGTGATATATGATTAAAGTTAGATAAATTAAAAAAACATATAGATTAAATAGATATCTGTAAGTATTTTTAAAGAAAATTAGGAATGTGTGAAGAAATATCTTTAACAATAAGAGTGAATATTAGGAGCTTTATCTCTTCATGTGACGTATTTTCTTGGAACCACTATGAAACATCATGACATTGATGGACAAGGATTCTAAAATATACTAGCACTCGTTATTATTCTATTCTTATATGTTCCTTATTTGTCAAATCATTACTACTAAAAGTCCTAGCAGATGAGTCAGTACTTTTTAAATAATTTCACTTTATTTTCTATAATATGTTTGGGTTTTTTTTGGTCTTACACTAGAACTGCACTATCTAACATGGTAGCCACTAGCTGTTAAAGCTTGAAATGTGGCTAGTCCAAACTGCTGAGATGTCCCTTAAATTTAAGACATATTGAGTTTCTAAGATTTAATGTAAAAGAAGTATGTGCAATATCTCAGTGATAGTTTTTGTATTTATTGCATGTTGAAATGATAATATTTTGGATACATTGGACTAAGTAAAATATACCATTAAAATTAATTTCACTTGTTTCCTTTTACTTTTTTAAGTGTAGCTACTAGAAAGTGTAAAATTACATGTGTGTTTCAAACTGTATGTCTATTGGACAGCACTGCTATAGGGATTATACTTTGCACACTTAGCTTGTTGTTATAGTCTTCCTTGAATTAGTATTTTACTACTTCACAAATAAAGAACCTCACACTAGTATAGTCTTATTTATTCCTTGCCTTTTGTACTATTAGTGAAACAATCTACTATATATATTATATATTATAATCCATAATACATTGTTGTTATGTTTACTTTAAATAATAGTCTTTTAAAATAATTATTTAAAAATAATCACATATCTTCACATGCATAACTATTCTTTCTGTTAATTCTTCATTCCTTACCATTTATATGTGCTTCTGTCTTTTAGTTTTTAACTGTTAGTGACAAATTCTCTCAGCTTTGCCTAAAATATCTGTAATTTGCCTTTATTATTGAAGAATGTTTTTATTGAGTATACAATTTTCATTGGCCTTTTAAAATTTCTTTTCAGCGTTTTAACGTTGCATTTTTAAGATATTATTCTTTTGAAGATGTATCTTTAATATCTTATTATATTTTGCCACTTAATTTTTCTTATAATAAATCGGCCATCAATCTGACTCTTTTTTCTTTGTCTGAAAGACAGTATGTCTTTCTTCCTCAGGCAGCTTTTGAGATTTTCTCTTTATCTTTGGTTTTCCACAGTTTGACTCTGATTTTTATGCTATGGCTCTTTTGTATTTATCCTATTTGAGATTCTCAGAGCCTCCCATGTCTGAATCTGTTATTAGCTTTCAAACATTCTCAGCCATTATCTCTTCACATATTTTTTCTGCCATATTTTCTCTTTTCTCTCATTCTGGGACTATGATTTACATAGATTTTAAGCAATTTTATGGTACCCACATGTCTCTCACATTGATACTGTACTATTCATTTATTTATTTATCTATGCTTAATTTTAAGTAATTTCTACTGATTTTAGTTTATTGATAATTTTTCCTCATATGTTCAGTGCACTATAAATATTATCCAGTGAATTATTTTAGACACTGTTTTTCTATTCTGTAATGTAAATTTGAATTATTTCTTAGGTTTTTCATTTTCTGTTGAAATTTACCATCTTTTCATCCATTTAAAAATATCTTTTCATCTCTACAATAAATCAAAAATTAGCCGGGTGTGGTAGTGCGCGCTTGTAATTCCAGCTACTTGGAAGGCTGAGGCGGAAGGATCGCCGGAGCCCAGCAGGTCGAGGCTGTGGTGGCTGGGAGCGGCCACTGCACTCCAGTCTGGGGGACAGAGTGAGACTCCAACTCAAAAAAAAAAAAAATCTTTTCCTTTAATTTCCTTAACATACTTATAATAGTTATTTGAAAACCCTTGATTGCAATTTTCAACATCTGGTTTCATTTGCAGATGCCTTTTCTCTTGATTGAGTCACATATTTCTGTTCTTCGTGTCTCATATTTTGTCATATGCCCAACATAGAGACTGGAATACATATTTTCCCCCAGAGCAGGCACACCGTTTCTTCTATAAGCAGACAGGATAAGGGTCTAATCACTTTGCTCCCATTAGGTGTTGGACTGAGTTGAAACTCTAATTTCAATTCACCTCTTAGTACAGATGTTTTACCAGGAGATATATCTTGTATGTGTTACTGACATCTACTCCCCTCCCCCATCCTTGCTGACAGTACTTGGGATCTAAGCACTACAATACTGTAATGCTTTCTCCCTGCCTTCGAGGACATTCCAAGCATCCTGTGCCACTGCACCCTCAGCAAAAGATCTGTAGGAGGAAACATTAGATGGGAAGAACTAGTTCTATGTTGGAATTTCTGCAGATGACAGTGTATGAAGTCCACAGAGCCATTAAAAGCTCTTCTAGTTTCTTCTAGTTACCCCAGTAGAATCACTCTGATTATACCAAGCTTGATCTTTCTCCTTATACTCAGCAAATATCTCTGAGGAGAAGGCTGTCTCTGATCCTGGGAAAGACTTGTCCCTCTCTTTCCTTTTCTTCAAAGTACAACTCAAACTATCTAGTTTATTGCCTATTTCCACCACTAGACTCACCATGAGAGCAGAGAGCTTAGTTCACTCTGTGTACCTACTACATATAAAGCTGTTCAATATATATATTTGCTGCAGTTTTTTTTCTTCTCTAGGTTATTTCAAACACTGGGGTGGAGTTGAACAGAAGATGGTTTAGTTAGGGAAGTAAGTAGAGGTTATTCCTAGGAGCCTATACACACAGAGTGACAGCCAAAAATGAAGAAAGATTCTGGGAGAAACACAAGCTGTTAAACACACACACACACACACACACACACACACACACACACACACACACGCATACGCATGTGTACCCAAACACATCCATGCATCCACTTTTGGTGGAAAGGCAAAAGAATCTCTGTATACCAATACCCAAGTCTTCATTTATTACATTATGATCTAATCATTAATATTGACATTGCTGAGCCTTCATTTGAATTTCATTCATTCAAATTGTCACAATTTCTTATTGTTTAGTATATTTTTAACTACTGGTAAGAATTTATAATACATTTTATAAAAATTTCTAGCAACATAAAATCTTCGGCAATTTAATGGAAAGATATTTAGTTTTCTGCAATAACTTCATGAAAATGATTTCGTTACCACATTAGATAAATAACACACATTGTGTTTCTTTTTTTCTTTTTCTTTTTTTTTTTTTTTGAGTTCGAGTCTCACTCTGTCGCCCCAGACTGGAGTGCAGTGGCCGCTCCCGGCTACCACAGCCTCAACCTGCTGGGCTCCGGCGATCCTTCCGCCTCAGCCTTCCGAGTAGCCGGAATTACAGGCATGCGCTACCACGCCCAGCTGATTTTTTGATTTATTGTAGAGATGAGGTCTCGCTGCCCAGGCAGGTCTCGAAGCCGTGGGCTCACCAATCCACTCACCTCAGCCTCCCAAAGGCACGGGATTACAGGCTGAGCCACCGAGCCCGGCCACATTGTGTTTCTATAGACACAAATAATGAGAAAAGATTCAGGGACTCAATACTGAATATGGGTACTTTATGACAAGTTCAAATCTTTTGAAGCTACTTTAAGGTCACCTTGATTTTCTCCCAAAGCGTGTTTGTATAAATACCTTAAAGCTTTAATTGTTCTACATTTCTTTATAAAATACCTTTTTCTATTATTAACTATTGGAAAAAAATAATTATCAGAACTATTAGAAATTTTATTCCTTTAAAAGAGATCCTTTCAGTTATTTAAATACAGCAATATTTTACGTTCTGAGTTTATTTTTGTTCTTTTTATTTATTTATTTATTTACTTATTTACTTATTTATTTTGAGTTGGAGTCTCACTCCGTTGCCCAGACTAGAGGGCAACAGCCACTCTCGGCCACCGCAGCCTCAACTTGCTGGCCTCCGGCGATTCTTCTGCCTCAGCCTTCCAAATAGCCGGAACTACAGGCACGCACTACCACACTGGGCTGATTTTTTTATTTATTGTAGAGATGAGCTCTCGCCAAGTTGCCCAGGCGGGTCTCGAACCCGCCAGCTCAGGCAATCCACTTCTTTTTAAAGTTACTAAATGAACACTTTCTGTATTCAAAGCAGTGTAGACTTACTGTAACTTTTTGCTTTCAGTTCGTGAAGTGACTGAGCCTCTGAATTTGAATCCAGCTAAACGGCCTCGCCGACAAGACTGGGATGGAGAATTATATGAAAATGGCTCGTTTTATTTTGCTAAAAGGCATTTGATAGAGATGGGTTACTTGCAGGTTTGTACTTTAATTGCAAAATCCTTTTAAACCTTTTTTATGTATACTTTGCATTTAAGGGAAGAGATACAGCACAAAATGTAAAGGAAAGTATCAACTTTTAGAGGGAAGGCAATAGCTGACAAAATTTATCATCTGAGGCATTTATCCTTCAGGCTTACCACAACTTTGGAATATATTCAGTAAATATACAAGGAATTTTGCTACAACAATAAAAAATGAATCAAGTACTGAATGTCTACACATACCCTGGTATTCCTAATATTCCATTCAAAACTGTAATTCATGTTTGTGTTACAGTTAGGTTGTGGCTTTGTGGTTCAATAACTTCTACTGCTTTAAAAAGAGAAAGAGAAAAACAACAGCAACAATAGAGGTGAAAGAGTACCAACTTGGCCATCAGCAAAGTCAGATTCTAGTTATATCTCTATGTAACCTTGATTATATAATTTTATCTTTTCTGACTCTTATTGCTCTCATTTTAAAATAAGGAGATTAACTGTCCCATCTTTAAAACCTACATGGTTGCATCATATATTTCTTAATTTTAGTTATTATTTCTTCATCCCTTATTAT